CTTGTTTCTAGGTGGTATTTCTTGATTAGGTATTCTTTGGTCTTCTTGTTCTTCAGCTTCTTTTCTTTCATCTGTTCTAGCTTGCTTGCATGTGATCTTAACTTGCTGATCTTATTTTCTAGTCCAACCTTCCATTTTTGTGGTTATTATTATTATTATTATTATTATTATTATTATTATTGATCATCGCACAATCAGCCAGATGTTCAAACTGGATTTGGCATTTTGTCTACCTATCAAGTCCTTACCCAGGACTTGGGATAGGCAGATGTGGATGTTTGATGGTATTACAGGCATCGTCGCAGGATGGAAGCAATTCCTAGTAAGGCTGCCTTTTGCAATTGACTAATAGTGAATTTGTCAATGCCAATGGTGTTCAAGTGGTGCTCCAGTTGTTTTGGGATTGCACCCAAGGAGCCTATCACTATTGGTACTACCCTTGCTTGCTTTTGCCACAGTCTTTCTATTTCTATTTGTAGGTCTTTGTATTTTGTTATCTTCTCCAATTCTTTCTCTTCTATTCTGCTATCTCCAGGCACTGCCACGTCCACTATCCAGACTTTTTTGTCTTTCTTATCGACAATTGTTAAGTCTGGGGTGTTATGTTGCAGGTGCTTGTCTGTTTGAATTCTGAAGTCCCAAAGCAGTTTAATTTTATCATTTTCTATGACTTTCTCTGTTTTATGATCCCACCAGTTTTTGCTTACGGGCAAATGATATTTTTTGCAGATCTTCCAATGCACCATTGTTGCTACTTTGTCATGCCGTTGCTTGTAGTCAGTCTGTGCAATCTGTATTTGTAGTATTTATTACTATTATTATTATTATTTCCTGACCATAGCTTCCACTTACTCATCAGATGAAAGCCATGAGTCCAAGACAACCCCCAATACTATGGTTGATGGTATTAAAAGCTGCTGAGAGGTCAAGAAGGATGGATGCATTACTTCCATCCCCTGCCTTCCATAGGCAAGCAACAAACATGACCAATGCTGTCTTATACCATGTCCTGTTCTGAGTCTAGACTGAAAGGGGAGGGGAATTCTTTGCCTGCTGAATGTGTATCTTTTTTCAGTTTCTTTCCCTTTTTCTTTCTCTATCCAGTTACTGCTTCCCTCTGTCTCACCTCCATCCAAAGTGTGTTCTCATTCCTTTCCCTCATTTATTCTTACTCCATTTGCTGGTATGCTTTTTTACTTTTTTTTTTTTACTGTTCCTGATGGAAGAGGAAGGGGAATGTATACATAATATGTTTCTATGTGCAAGAGAGATTTATGTATGAATGAAACAATAATTGGTACATGCAGATCAGTATGAATTATTGCTTCAATGGGGCTATTTTACGGGAATTTGGTATTTTAATGAATAGTTACTAATACAATCATGTCTGCTTTTGGGGGGTCATCTTCCTTTTGAATAAATACAATATTTATTTATTTATTTATTTATTTATTTATGAGACTTATATACCGCTTTAAGTGCAAGCAATCTCTAAGCGGTGTACACCAGTAAGCAATGTATATATATAAATACTATGATTAAAATAATTTTCTGTTTTTTTTATGTCTGCGGATCAGCTATGGTTTAAATATAATATCTGAAAGGCTGAAAAGTAGTCTAGAAAAGGTCTACTCCACAGATCTGGTATTTTCTGGTAGTCTCCCATTCAAGTACTAACCTAGCCTAACTCTCTTTAGCTTGAGATTAACCAATGTCAAATCTGTGTTATCACATCTACTCTAATATTCATAGTATAATATCATAATTAAAATAATGGACAAATGTGCAAACCGAATATTCCTACAGCAACCTGTAAAACTATATTCCCCCCCCCCTTTTGTAGTACTAAGAAGACATTAAGATGGCATTAGGATGATGCTACTAAACCAGCCTTTACCTCTTCTAATCTGTCATAAACAACCATGACCCCTGGCTGAACTAATACTGTGGTCCATTTCAGAATTTTGAACAGCTTATAGAAAGGGATATTCACAAGTTTCTTGAGAAAAAGACTCAAGTTCTAAGAGGAAATGTGCCAATTATTTTAGATGAGAACATTTGTATAATTGCATTCAATAACAATGGAAATTTTATTAAACTGAGAAGAGAAAATCATTTGGATAAGGCAAAATGAATAACATGTTTAAAATATAATGGGATGATATGACTGGCAGCCCAGCTAGAAAGAGCAATGTAATGGGAAACATGAATGATCTTTAGCTCTTGTCCGACATTGTATCAATATTTGCCAATAAAATAACAGGGCAAGTTTAGTCCTTATTGCATTGAAGATTTGTAAATACCAAGAAGCCACATTTCTACCACCTGAACATTATCCATTTTCCATATGGGAGACCATGCTACAACCTTGGAATATGGTTATTTATCAGTAAACCTTTAACAATAGTTTAGATCAGGGGTCCCCAACCCCCGGTCCGTGACCAGCAACCAGTCCACACAAGGCGAGCAGAATAAATCTGGTCTAGAGGAATACTGTTCCACAGGGCCATGACAGAAAAGGCTTTCTTCCTGGCCCACACCAGATGACACTCCCTGATGGACAGGACCCAGAGCATGCCTCTGCTAGATCTAACAGGATGGAAAGATAAAACCAGGAAGAGACAGTCTCATAAGTATCCCAGCCCCAAGCCTTAAAGATAACTTCTAGCACCTCAAACATGGAAAGCCATTGGTACAGAATATTATTTCATCTAAACCAGAGGTCCCCAACCTTTTGGGCACCAGGGACTGGTTCCATGGAGGTTTTTCCACACACTGGAAGGTGTGTGGTTTTGTGTGCTGCCTGCATCCCGCGGATGGGGCTTTGCTTGTTTGTATGGACCGGTTGCTGGCATGCTGCGGCCCGGTACTGGTCCACGGACCAGGGGTTGGGGACCCCTGGTTTATACAACCAAGGATTGTATTAGCTGTTTTGGCTACTGCCACACACTGCTGGCTCATGTTTAAGTAATTGTCCACTAGGACTCCAAGATCCCTCTCAGAGTTACTGTTTTTGAGCCAGGTTTCCTCTAATCTGTACTTGTACCTTTGGTTTTTCCTGCCTAAGTGTAAAACCTTGCTTTTCTCTACATAAAATTTCATGTTGTTGGAGAGGACCCATCATTCAAGACTGTCAAGATTTTTTTGGATCCTGAGCTTGTCTTCTGGGGCATTGGCTATTTTTGCCAGGTTAATGTCATCTGCAAGTTTGATGAGTTCCCCTTCTATTACCTTATCTAAGTCATTTATGAAGATATTGAAGAGTACTGGACCTAAGACAGAACCTTGTGGTACCCCACTGCTCACTTCCCTCCATATAGATGCAGTACCATTAAGGACTACTCATTGAGTACGGTCTGTCAGCCAGTTACAAATCCATCTAGTGGTAATGCTGTCTATCCCACATTTTTCTAGTTTACTAAGAAGTAGGTTGTGGTCTACTTTGTCCAATGCCTTGCTGTAGTCCAAATATACTCTGTCCATAACATTTCACTGGTCTACTAATTTAGTCACAGAATGGACCCCTGGAGGCCCATGGAAGCGTCCCCTGGCCTCCTTTCTGGATACCAGCAGTCCGGAAAAGGCCTCCAACGCCCGCATCAGGCCTCTGGAGGTCCAAGAAGCATCACCCGGCCTCCTTTTGGGGGCAGCAGTGGCCCAGATTGGACCTCCAGAGGTTCACCTGGACTCCTTTCTGGTTGGCAGCAGCCCGGAAAAGGCCTCAAACATCCGGATTGGGCCTCCAGAGGTCCACAGAAGCATCCCCCCGCCTCCTTTCCAGGTGGAAACAGCCTAGAAAAGGCCTCCAATGCCCAGATCAGGCCTCCATAGGCATGCAGAAGCCTCCCCAACTTCAGTTCCATTCTCTGATGCAGAGAACAGAGGCCTAAAGTACCGTGAGATCATGCGAGATCAGTAGCGTGAGATCTCACACCACTGATCTCTTGCGTTACTTTAGGCCTCCATTCTCTGCGAATGCACTGAAGGCCTGGAGCAGCCAAGAAAGTGAATATCAAAGGCCTACTCCCTAGGGAGACCCAGGGCGGGGGGGGGGGAAAGGAAGGAATAGCCAGCGTGAATGTTGCAGTACCACTGCGGTCGTTCGTAAGGGTGAACAACTGCTGTGGTGAGGCAACATTCGTAATTTCAGGACTTTTTCGTAAACACTAGGGGGCATAATTTTGAACATTTGCTAAGGGAACACTCATAACTCGGGGATTACCTGGACCTCCGTAGATTGATTGCCTGGTCTGCAGACTATAGTTTCTGTTCGCCAAAGAACTGAGTCTCCTATTACCAATATTCACCCTTTTTCCCTAGGGAAGTCTGAAATACTTTTCGTCCTGTCACAGGAATGCAGTGTTGTGCCTTTATAAAAGAAACTATTGATGAATGCTCTTTTGTGAGTGTCTGTATATTTTCTTCCAGGGGGAGGCTATGAAAGCGATCGTTCAGTCCCAGAGAGATTTCATTGGAGTGGGTTAGGGTAAATAGTAGGGGCTTTGCTCTTGGTTGTTGTTTTCTTCTAAAAGTGACATGTTTCCATTGGTCTTTAGGTACATATGTAGGCTCATTTTTTAGGGAAGCTGTTTATTCCTTATTGTGTTCAATTTGGGTGTATCAGTTTTCTTCTTTATGTTCATGTATTTTTTTAGAAGCTGTTTGCTCTCTATTGTGTCTTTTGGTGTATGGTTATTGTTTTTTACCACTGCAATTTTTCTTGTTTACAATTTATTTATAATTTCATTATATTGTTTTTATCCTGTTTTTATAGCTACCCAAATAATATATTTGAGATGGACAGCCATATTAAAGAAATAACATTAGTGGGTTAGATTTAAGAAATTGCAGTGTTTGGGATTATATTGTAGTTACAAATAGGAACTCTTCTTCTCTTGGCAATAATTCTTATCTGTCTTTTAACAAATAAAAGTAAAAGGGAAGAAAGACATTCCAAAGAAAGTTAGTAATCAAATGTGGCAACAATTGACATTATTTACCTAATTTGACAAACAGCCAAGATTTGAGCACGACATGTCTCTTCATTCTGTGGTTTCAGCAACAGAAATGGAAGTTCAGCTCTAAGTCTAGCAGACAGCTTCCCAGACTGTACATAATCCATGATGTCATATGCTATCATTGCTCTAGGCCAATTTTCCAATGTCAGCCTTCTCCAATAATTATGTCTGCCACCATAATATGCTGGAGTTTCATCCATATGACTGGCATACTAGAAAGCCATAAAGAAACAACATTTATGAAATGTTAATTATAATTCAATTAAGTTTGGGTAGCTTAATTATAGATTTATTTTATTCATTTTTAAAATTTATATCGCTGCCCATCTCACTTACATATGATTCTCGGTGGCATGTATAGTTAAACGTAAGTAAAACCATGATCTTCTACCATTAAAAACAATTAAAACCTACATTTAAAATACAATAATAAAAAGATAGAGGAGAATGCACTTTGGCAATATAACCATTTAACAGGCTCCATGAGATCCCAAAGCCTGATGAGCATCCATGTTTTAAGGACTCTTCTGTAAGCCAGAAACGTTGGGGACAATCTCACCTCGGGTGGGAGGAAAGGATGTATCAAAAGGTGGGTACAACAGCAAAAAAGACTCTCTTTCTGGCTACTGCTAAACAAAGCTCCTTGACCAGCGGGATCCATAACATGCCCTTCTGCTGGACCTGATGGGATGGGTAGATGTAATTGGGGAGAGGTGGCCCCCTCAAATAACCTGGTCCTACATGATATAGGGCTTTACAGGTCATACCAGCGACATGAATTGGGCTTGGAAGCAAACCGGCAGCCAGTGGATCTTGCAGAGCAAAGGTGCAATCTGTACCAGTTGAAGTTTTCAGACACTCTTCAAGGGTAAACCCATGTAAAGCACATTTAGTAATCCATTTGAAAGGAGACTAGGCCATGAGTGACTGAGAGTAGGGCTTCCCAATACAGGAGTGGGTGCAACTGGTGCTTAACATGAAGCTGTGCAAAGGGGTTACTGGCCATTACTGACACCTGTTTTTTTTAGCAGGTGTTGTGAGTCCAGAAGGACTCCCAGATTCTGCACCAGGTCTATTTAGGATAGTGCAATCCCATCCATCATCAAATATAGTAAATCCTCAGACAGAGAAGTTGCCAAAGCCACTTAATCATTTCAGGGTTCAGTTGAAGTCTTTTGTTCCAGATCTCCACAGATTCAAGGCAACAAAAGAAGACATGAATAGAATCACTTAGTTCACTAGGCATGGAAATATATAATTAGGTATCATCAACACACTGACATTAGGAACCTCATGCTGACCCCACGCTGATAGATGATTTCAATAGATGTTAAACAGGAATAGGAAAGTACAGAGTATGTGTTTTTTTTTTAATGCTGTGCTTCAATGGTTAGATGGCCTAGACCAGGGGTAGGCAACCTTGGCTCTTTTATGACTCGTGGACTAACTCCCAGAATTCCTGAGCCAGCCATGCTGGCTCAGGAATTCTGGGAGTTGAAGTCCACGAGTCATAAAAGAGCCAAGATTGCCTACCCTTGGCCTAGACATTGGTATTTGAACATAGATCTTTTTAACATTTACTTTATATTTTATTGTGTTTTACTAATCTAGGTGAAATGTTAATATATATTGCTAGTCCGTGTATGATACGTCATATGCTAAATAATAAATAGTACTGACTGAGTCTTGCAGCATTCTACATGGTAGGAGCCAGAAGCCCTACCTTTCGCTCCCAATTAACACTAATGGAACTGGACTCAGAGGAAGGAAATGAACCAACACAATACCCTGCTGCCCAATCCCAGCCCTCAAAGTTGGCCCAGAAGTATAACATAAAATGACAGTATCAAAAGTTACTGAGAGTTCAAGTAGAGTGAGGATTGAATGCACTACAGTACTCATTCTACCAGAGATCATCCAAATGCCAATGGTGTTTTTGTCCAAATTTGGATCTGAATCCTGGCTGGAATGAAACCAGATAATCCATTTCATCAGGATTCTCTGAAGATATTTTTTATAAAAGGATGTACTGTATTGATGGTATTTGACTAGGAACAAACTGGCAAAAAATGTATACAGGAACTTCTAACAAGTGTTGGAAATGTGCTGTAATCAAATTCCAGGTACATTTTATCAATGTAGTGGTCTTGTAAGTATGCTAAATCATACTGGATAAACATAATAATGATAAGTCAAAAAATACTCAAAATGCAAATACTAATTAAATTTAAAGCTTTTCTTTTAGGCATTATGGACAAATTGAAAGAAAAACAGTTTTGAGACCTTATTTCTTTACCTGGTGATTGCTGCAAAAATTGTCTATGCCAAATTTTAGAAATAAAAAGGGATGCCAACTGTTGAAAAATGGATTTTAAAACTGTCTGAATTGGCAGAAATGGCAAAATTAATTGCATTAATTAGAAACAATTGATTAAACAAGTTTATAAGACATTGCAAGCCATTTGTGGAATTTCTGTGTGTTAAGTCCAGTAACAGATTGTTGATAGAGGGTTTTGAAGACTAGTTTTGTTTTTTAGGTTTTTTGTTTTTTGTTAAGTGAATAGATAGTGGATCAATTTGATAGACAAACTACAAATTTCCACATCAGGGGCATATTTTTATGTAACATTGTACTTTTGGTCTATATACAGTGGGGCCAAAAAGTATTTAGTCAGCCACCAATTGTGCAAGTTCTCCCACTTAAAAAGATGAGAGAGGCCTGTAATTGTCATCATAGGTAGACCTCAACTATGAGAGACAAAATGAGAAAACAAATCCAGACAATCACATTGTTTGATTTGGAAAGAATTTATTTGCAAATTATGGTGGAAAATAAGTATGTGGTCACCTACAAACAAGTAAGATTTCTGGCTCTCACAGACCTGTAACTTCTTCTTTAAGAGGTTCCTCTATCCTCCACTCATTACCTGTATTAATGGCACCTGTTTGAACTTGTTATCAGTATAAAAGACACCTGTCCACAACCTCAAACAGTCACACTCCAAACTCCACTATGGTGAAGACCAAAGAGCTGTTGAAGGACACCAGAAACAAAATTGTAGACCTGCACCAGGCTGGAAAGACTGAATCTGCAATAGGCAAGCAGCTTGGTGTGAAGAAATCAACTGTGGGAGCAATAATTAGAAAATGGAAGACATACAAGACCACTGATAATCTCCCTCGATCTGAGGCTCCACGCAAGATCTCACCCCGTGGGGTCAACATGATCACAAGAACGGTGAGCAAAAATCCCAGAACCACACGGGGGGACCTAGTGAATGACCTGCAGAGAGCTGGGACCAACGTAACAAAAGCAACCATCAGTAACACACTACGCCACCAGGGACTCAGATCCTGCAGTGCCAGACCTGTCCTCTTGCTTAAGCCAGTACATGTCCAGGCCCGTCTGAAGTTTGCTAGAGAGCATTTGGATGATCCAGAAGAGGATTGGGAGAATGTCCTATGGTCAGATGAAACCAAAGTAGAACTGTTTGGTAGAAACACAACTCGTCGTGTTTGGAGGAGACAGAATGCTGAATTGCATCCAAAGAACACCATATCTACTATGAAGCATGGGGGTGGCAACATCATGCTTTGGGGCTGTTTCTCTGCAAAGGGACCAGGATGACTGATCCTTGTACAGGAAAGAATCAATGGGGCCATGTATTCCATCAGCAAGGGCATTGAAGATGAATTGTGGCTGGGTCTTTCAGCATGACAATGATCCCAAACACACCGCCCGGGCAACAAAGGAGTGGCTTCGTAAGAAGCATTTCAAGGTCCTGGAGTGGCCTAGCCAGTCTCCAGATCTCAACCCCATAGAAAACCTTTGGAGGGAGTTGAAAGTCCGTGTTGCCCAGCGACAGCCCCAAAACATCACTGCTCTAGAGGAGATCTGCATGGAGGAATGGGCCAACATACCAGCAACAGTGTGTGCCAACTTCGTGAAGACTTACAGAAAACGTTTGACCTCTGTCATTGCCAACAAAGGATATACAACAAAGTATTGAGATGAACTTTTGATATTGATCACATACTTATTTTCCACCATAATTTGCAAATAAATTCTTTCCAAATCAAACAATGTGATTGTCTGGATTTGTTTTCTCATTTTGTCTCTCATAGTTGAGGTCTACCTATGATGACAATTACAGGCCTCTCTCATCTTTTTAAGTGAGAGAACTTGCACAATTGGTGGCTGACTAAATATTTTTTTTGCCCCACTGTAGATGGGAAAACAGTAACTAGTTGTAGACCTATTTTGCAAGGGGGGGGGTAAATGTATCAGATATTTGAGATATATTTTTCAGCATTTAGTCAAGATGGACATTTTATGTTGAATGTTAATGATATATTTATTTATTGTACACAGATTTTTATTATTGTTTTTTGTTTGGTTGTTATGTTTGTAGTTTGTAGTTTTTTTATTCTGTATTTTAACTTTGTAAATAAAAAAAATATTTTTAAAAAAGGATTCTCACAATCACTTTCTCTATAACCTTTCCTAAGAAAGGTAGCCCAATCCAATCCAAGCCATAGCTGCCATCTCATTCCAAGAAGCAACAAAGGCCTCAGTAGGATCATGCAACAGACTATCAGGCACAACATCTAGCTCCCTCTGAACCCTTCCAGATCCATCAGTTGTCAAGGTGAACCAATCAAATAGGTCCCACCTCCTTGTAGGATTCATGGCCACCAGGAAATGATCCGATCATGACAGGAAGATCACAGAAAGTTCCTCCACTTTTAGATCACACTGTGACTGCTCGACAAAAACACCAGATCAGCTGTATGATCACTGTCCTGTGTTTGGCCCTGGATAACTGGGGATAGGCCCATGACTGTCATGGTAGCCGTGAAATCCTGGGAATCCCACGTTAGAACCCACCTCTAGAGAATTCAGATTGAACTTTCTCAAAATAAGCCTGAGAAACTCTACTGCCAACCCAGAGATAGAATCAAGGTCAAATATGGAATTTGCTAGATAGCAAGGAGGCTGGAACAGTATTAGAATTCTTGGGCAACAACCTGCTTTCTTTTTGGGAAGCATTCCATTTAAATTATTAAAAATAACTAGACAATCCATGACCTGTTGGTCATTGTTTCAGAGATATTTCCTTCCCAAATTCCTTAGTGCCTTCTTCAATGGCAGAGCTTCTAATGTACTTCAAAAGTTCTTAAAAATTCAGAGAGATATACAGAGATGTACTTGCCTTGGAAGTAGCCCATGTTGAACTGTATAGCATACTCAAACATCAGCAGCATAAATACTGAACCATCACTTCCACATATAAAGTGGGAAGAAACACACTCTATTATAAAGACATTTTCACTTTTGACAAATATTCTTTGCAACAGATCACATATTACCATTTTTTCTATAAACATTTGCATGTCTTAACATTTCTGTTTTCCTATTTATTTTCATGTTGGAATTATTCAATCCACGTTCCACATCAAACAATTCTGTTTTGGTACTTGATACATGAATTATTCCTTATTGCACCATACAATCTAACATTTGCGGTAATCTATTCCATTTTCAGTCAGAAACAAGGTGTATTTTGTATACAAAAGTATATATATATGTGTATCACCAACCATCACATCTCTAATGTTACCACAGGTAACATTTATATATTAATCTGTGAATACATTTAGCAGCAAAGGAATCACCATTTTTTTTGTTCTCTTCATCTTTTTGTTCTCTTATCCAAACTGAATAGATTTAAACACTCCCTTTATTCCTACTTAGGCTAAACTTTTATCATATACTATTTTTATCAGATTCAGCAAACAAATTTCTGTCACACTATATAAAATATTCCAAAATGCTACCCTAGTCATTTTATCATACACTTTCACTAAATCAAGGAATGTGCAATAAAAACACTCAGAGTCAAGAGACAGAACCGTAAATATTGACCTTCATTATTTTCATCATGGCTTTAGTCAGCTAAGTATTTCACCTAATGTTTTCTAGTAAAATGAAGGAGAAGGTGCTTGAGAGGCATGGTGCAGGTTGGGTAGGTACAGGGAATGTTACTTATATGTAAGGGTATAGGTCTATACATATGTTGTATATAGTATGTTTAAATGTGTGTTATGTATGTGTACACTTTGAGAATAAGCAACTAAATTTCATTTTTAATGTGTGCCATTGTGCCCACAGTAAAAAATGACAATAAAGGTTATCTATCTAAGGCACAGTGCAGGTTGGCAATATTGCATGTGAGTGGATTAGTTGCAAGTGTGGCACAAGTGCAGAAGGGCTGGGGGAAGGTGCATGGGTAGGAGAGAACTTACCCCTGCAATTTGTGACCTTTCTTGCTGGATTCCCCATTAATTTTCTGGGAAAGACAACAGAGAAGATTGCAAAAGGCAATCACTAATTGTGGGATGTGCTGTAACTGGGCATAAGTGTGAATGAGTTGCCAAGCAATCAGATCCCTATCATGTGACCAGAGGAATGCTGAGACAGCCTGAACTCTTGAGCATCAGTTGTAACCACTATTGGAACAATAACTGACCAAATGGCTACAGTATAGGTCAAGGACTACTTATTATGAGATGGATGGAGAATATGACAACTATAGGTGGTCCTTGATTTACAAACATAATTTTGGACCAGTAAATTTGTCATTAAGTGGTAATGTGTCATTAACTGAGGCATTACATGATTACATCCAATTATATGAACTTTTTTACCATGCTTATTAAGCAAATCACACAGGCATTAATCAAATCATATGGCACCTCACTGACTTTGCTTGTTGTTCCCAGCTGGGAAGGTCACAAATAGTGTCACACAAACCAAGGATGCTACAACCATCATAAATATATGCTGGTTCCAAATACTTGCATTCTGATCATGTGGCCAGAGGGAAACTGCATTAGTCATAAGTGCGAGGACTGGTCATAAGTTACTTTTTTAGTATTGTAACTTTGAATGATTGCTAAACAAATGGTCCTAAGTCAAGGGTTATCTCTATTTTCAAATCCCTAAAGAGTTGTCAAACAGAGTATCAGGACCTGTTTCTTATGGTTTCATCCCAGAATGTAAGATACAAAATGATAATTTTAAGTTATAGGAAGTAGATTTTGATTTAATATTAAGAAAAACAGCAAGATCAGTTTAACAGTGGAACCATTTATCGCAAATAATACAGATCCTCTTAATAGAGCCATTCAAGAACTATGCATTGAAAATGCTTTTAATTTGGATCCTAAGGGGATTGGACTCGACTGAATGGAACTTTAGTATTTTTTAAATTATATAATCCCATTTGATAGATAAATCTTAGCACTGCTTACTTGCATGTAATCTCTTATTGTAGCAATATCTATTTCATCTGTTATTCCGTGCCTTTTATTCTGAAGTTCATCTTGAAGAATCTGATTATAATACGTCCGATATCCCATTAATTTGCAAGCATCAACAGCTGCCTAAACATATTAGAAAATATAAAGTAAATAACTGATAATAAATCACTAAGAATGAGTTAAGTTAATGGAAAATATTCTTATTCCTACAATAAAAGGGCATTTCCTCTTCCCTCACAAATCTACCCCAACATCTAATTTAGCACATCATGGGAGCCAATATATTGAAAGCTTGATAACTCAATGTTCTCTACCATACCATTTTTGGGGGGTGGGAGGGAGGGACAGAACTGGGTAAGATATGGTGACCATTTAAATTCTGCCCATTTACATTCCCATTTATCTGTTTGTAAAAAGCTTTCTTTTTATTATTTTCAAACTATGGAATGAAATCCTTTGGAAATTATATTCAACTTGGACTTCTCTGTCTTCAGAAGAGCAACCAAGACACAGCATATTTTGTTACTATATTTCACCATATTTTAACTGTTTGTTCTCTGTATTTCATTATTTTAAGTATTATTGATACTAAGCAATATTTTTACTATAATTATTGAGTAGGAAAGCAGGATATAAATCAATTAAGTACAGTTTGAGGAATAAATAAATGATTTTTGTTTTACTATCAAGGTTTACATTTCTGAAGTAGTTATGTCTTGGCACTGCTGCTATAGTTGGATCTCCATATTCATGTATTTTTGTGGTGGCAGTGGTGAAATATATTACACTAATCTTTTACATCAGTGTTTCTCAACCTTGGTAACTTGAAGATGTGTGGACTTCAACTCCCAGAATTCCCTAGCCACACATGTTCAAGTTGCCAAGGTTGAGAAACACTATTTTACATACAGGCCAGAAGTCATGCTTGTGCTGCCATTTCCTCCTCCTCCACTCTTGGCTTCCTCTTGCCAGTGCCAGGTGGAGGACTTGTTGAGCTGCTTATGCTCAGGTGGCTGGTAAAGTTGTCACCAAAATGGCTGCTAGAGGAGGTGGTGAACACTCTCTTCTCTCTCTCCCAGACTGGATGAATGTATTTTCTTTTTGGGACTTCAAGCCACATGATTTTGGGTTGTAGGTCACATCTAAAGTGTATAGACAGACATAAAAACATCTGGGGATATTTGAGCAAGAGTACAGATTTTCACATATTTTTCAGGAGATACAACTGTATTCCTAAAATAACTGTTTCTTTAAAAAACTGAATTCTTTCACCCTCAAGAACTACCCGTTAAAGAGTTTTAACAGATATATTAAAAAGTAAAGGCATCCTCAAATCATATTTGATTAAATATTAAATAATGCTTAAATTTGCATGTCATGACAAGTATGTTACATGTCTACTCCAGCTGAAGTAATATATGATAGATATTAAACAAGCAAAAAAGTTTGGATAAATAGAAAATTATCAAAAACAACAGTAGATTACCTTACTTTCTGATGTTATTACTCTTTTCCCGCTGATATATTGGTTGGTTTTGGTTCTTGATTTACAAAATATTTTAAATATAATAAAAGGGGGGAAATCAGATCCAGCAAATCTGAAGGGAGGAAATATCAAAACTGAGTAACTATGCAACAGTGTTAAATATCTGTAGCTCGGGTGTAGGATGAGGGTGAAGATTTGTTCTCTGAGCTTGTGGGTTGGTTTCTGAACATTTCGTTACCAGGCTGGGTAACATCTTCAGCAAAGTTTAGGAGATGTCAGTGTCTATGTTCTGTTTATAAGGAATTATCACTAATGACTCACACCTGACCCATCAGAAGACCCTCACTTGACACACCCATACTTGAAGCCCTTATAAACAGAAGAACACTGACACTGTTATCCCCTAAACTCCACAGAAGATATTACCTAGTCTGGTAATGAAACATTTAGAGAACAAACTTGGAAAATACCCTTCACCCTCATTGAGTAACTATTTTTATGGAAAATTTATTTTTTATGTTCTGCCTTAGAAGTCATAACTCATTTAAGTGTTTCCTATTCAAATAATATGATTAATAATTATTTTAAACATTTTTATGTGGCTGTAAATTAAGGCACGAAAAGAACCACATTTCTGATCTAAGCACAATGTAGAAATATATTACTTAAAATAAATGAGTCTACTTTCTTTATGATAATCTGAGTCAGCATAAGTACTTTGTGCAAAAAATCCTTTTGGTAATCGACTCTATTACAGTAAATATTTTCCTGTTATGAAGAGAAATAATTTATATTTGTCCACATCCAATTCCTAAGAATTTAGTGAATGTCTTCCCTATCTGAATTACAACTATATAGAAAATTCTGAAACATTAGGTTATCTCTCAGCTATCATAATAAAAACCAATTCTGAATGTACAGTATAACTCTTGCTTAATAATAATAATAATAATAATAATAATAATAATAATAATAATAATAATACTGAATAACTCAGGACATGGCTATCAAACATCAAAAACATCTATCAGACTATCCCATCTCCTTTATTTATTTATTTATTTATGAGACTTATATACCGCTTTAAGTGCAAGCACTCTCTAAGCGGTGTACACCAGTAAGCAATGTGTATATATATATATTTACATTGCCCCCAACAATCTGGGTCCTCATTTTACCTACCTCAGAAGGATGGAAGGCTGAGTCAACCTTGAGCCGGTGAGATTTGAACCGCTGACCTGCTGAACACAGTCAGCTAAAGTGGCCTGCAGTACTGCACTCTAACTGCTACCCCACCTTTACATGGATGATCTGAAGCTGTATGGAAAAACATCACCTGAAATAGAATCGCTGCTCAACACTGTCCGTATATATAGCCAAGATATTGTTATGGAGTTTGGCTTGGACAAATGTGCCACACTTACTATCAAACAAGGAAAAGTAGTGAAAACTGAAGGAATCAAGATGCCCCACGAAAATAACATTAAGAGTCTGGATGAGGAAGATTACTACAAATACTTGGGTATCCTTCAAGCTGACAACATCAAGCACACTGAAGTCAAGAAAAAGATTAGAGGTGAATACATCAAGAGAGTGAAGAAGATCTTAAAGTCCAAACTCAATGGAGGAAATACCATAAAGGCAATCAACACCTGGGCAATCCCAGTCATTAGGTACACAGCTGGAATAGTGGACTGGACTCAAGCAGAACTAAAAGCAATGGATAGGAAGACCAGAAAAATAATGACAATGAATCATGCCCTTCATCCACGCAGTGACATTGACAGACTTTATTACCAAGGCAAATAGGTGGGCGTGGAATGCTACAAGTACATCAGATGGTTGAAGAAGAAAAAACGGCTTTGGAAGAATATCTGAAGAACAATGATGAAGATGCACTGAAATTAGTATATCAGGAAGGCTTACTGACTACTGGAGAGACCAAACTGGCCTACAAGAAAGACCAAATGAAGAACAGAATAGAGGCATGGGAAGACAAAGCACTACATGGCCAATACATTAAAAAAATAGCTGGGAAAGCAGATAATAACAAGACCTGGCAATGGCTAAGAGCAGGAAAATTGAAGAAAGAGACCGAGGGACTAATTCTGGCTGCACAAGACCAAGCCTTAAGGACAAATGTGTATAAAGTCAAAATTGAGAAGACAGCAACAGACAGTAAGTGCCGCCTATGCAAAGAAGCTGAAGAAACAGTGGACTACCTGGTAAGCTGTTGCAAGAAGATTGCACAGACTGACTACAAGCAGCGGCATGACAAAGTAGCAACAATGGTGCATTGGAAGATCTGCAAAAAATATCATTTGCCTGTAAGCAAAAACTGGTGGGATCATAAAATAGAGAAAGTCATAGAAAATGATAAAATTAAACTGCTCTGGGACTTCAGAATTCAAACAGACAAGCACCTGCAACATAACACCCCAGACTTAACAATTGTCGATAAGAAAGACAAAAAAGTCTGGATAGTGGATGTGGCAGTGCCTGGAGACAGCAGAATAGACGAGAAAGAACTGGAGAAGATAACAAAATACAAAGACCTACAAACAGAAATAGAAAGACTGTGGCAAAAGCAAGCAAGGGTAGTACCAATAGTAATAGGCTCCTTGGGTGCAATCCCAAAACAACTGGAGCACTACTTGAACACCATTGGCATTGACAAATTCGCTATTAGTCAATTGCAAAAGGCGGCCTTACTAGGAACTGCTTCCATCCTGCGACGATACCTGTAATACCATCAAACATCCACATCTGCCTATCCCAGGTCCTGGGTAAGGACTTGATAGGTAGACAAAATGCCAAATCCAGTCTGAACATCTGGCTGACTGTGCGATGATCCATAATAATAATAAAAAAAGTTGGAAGGGACCTTGGAGGTCATTGGGTCCAACCCCCTGCTCAGGCAGGAAACCCTACACCATTTCGGACAGATGGCTGTCCAGTCTCTTCTTAAAAACTTCCAGTGTTGGAGCATTCAGCACTTCTGGAGGCAGATTATTCCATTAGTTAATTGTTCTGTCGGGAAGTTTCTCCTTAGTTCTAGCTTGCTTCTCTCCTTGATTAGTTTCCATCCATTGCTTCTTCTCCTGCCTTCAGGCACCTTGGAAAATAGATTGATTCCCTCTTCTTTGTGGCAGCCCCTGAGATATTGGAACACTGCTATCATGTCCCCCCTCATCCCTCTCTTCATTAAACTAGACATACCTAATTCCAGCAGCCTTTCCTTATATGTTTTAGCCTCCAGTCCCCTAATCATCTTTGTTGCTCTTCTCTGTACTCTTTCTAGAGTCTCAACATCTTTTTTACATTGTGGTGACCAAAACTGGATGCAGTATTCCAAGTATGGCCTTACCAAGGCATTGAAGAGTGGTATTAATACTTCACGTGATCTTGATTCTATCCCTCTGTTAATGCAGCCTAGCACTGTGTTGGCCTTTTTGGCAGCTGCAGCACACTGCTGGCTCATATTTAAGTGATTGTCCACTAGGACTCTGAGATCCCTCTCACAGTTACTACTATTGAGCAAGGTACCCCCTATACTATACTTGTACATTTGGTTTTTCTTGCCTAAATGTAGAATCTTACTTTTTTCACCATTGAATTTCATTTTGTTACATAGCGCCCAGTGTTCAAGTCTGTCCAGATCCTTCTGTATCTTAAGACTGTCTTCTGGAGTGTTGGCTATTCCTGCCAGCTTGGTGTCATCTGCAAATTTGATGAGTTCCCCATCTATCCCCTCGTCCACATCATTGATGAAGATGTTGAAGAGCACTGGGCCTAAAACAGAGCCCTGGGGCACCCCACTACACATTTCCCTCCATGTAGATGGGGTTCCATCGAAGACCACATGCTGAGTATGGCCGGTCAGCCAGCTACGAATCCATCTGGTGGTGATGCTGTCTAACCCACTTTTTTCTATCTTATCGAGTAGTAGGTTGTGATCTACTTTATCAAATGCCTTACTGAAGTCCAAGTAAATTATATCTACAACATTCCTCTGATCCACTAATTTTGTCACTTGGTCAAAGAATGCAATAAGGTTTGTCTGGCATGATCTGTTTTTGACAAACGCGTGTTGGCTTTTAGTAGTGATTTTGTTTGCCTCTAGGTGTTTGCTGATTCGTTGTTTGATTATCTTTTCCAGAATCTTCCCAGATATTGAGGTCAGGCTGATAGGTCTGTAATTTCCTGGATCCATTTTTTTTCCTTTTTTGAAGATGGGAACTACATCAGCTCTTTTTCAGTCCTGTGGTAGTTCCCCAGTGCTCCAGGATCTTTGAAAAATATAGTTCAGTGGTTCTGAGATCACATCTGTCAGTTCCTTGAGAACCTTGGGGTGTAATCCATCTGGTCCTGGTGATTTGAACTCGTTTAGGCTGGACAGGTGCTCACTTATCATTTTCTTGCCTATCTTAACTTGTGTTTCTATACTGTTTTTTATGGCACTATTTTTAATAGGTTGGTCTGTTTTTTCCCTTTGTGTAAAGACAGATGCAAAAAACGAGTTAAATAGTTCTGCTTTCTCTCTATTGTTTGTCACCTCCTTGCCACTTTTGCCCACTAATGGACCAATCATTTCCTTCACTTTTTTCTTTTTTTTACATGTTGAAAGAAGCTTTTTTTGTTATTTTTTACTTTAGTCGCAAGCCTTAGTTCAGGGGTACGCAACCCAAAACACTTAAAGAGCCACTTGGACCCGTTTCCCACCAAAAACAAGGCACTGGGAGCCGCAAAAACCTTTTGATATCTAAAATGAAGATAACACTGCATATATCCTTTTTTACCTTTATTATAGGTGTGTGTGTTTGTGTGTGTGGGGGGGGTATTTGTGTGTGTGTGTGTGTGTGTGTATATACACACATATGTATGTATATGTATGTATGTATGTGTACACACACACACACACACACACATACACAGGTTAAAAAAAGGATATATGCAGTGTTATCTTCATTTTAGATGTCAAAAGGGTCTCTCTCTCTCTCTGTCTCTCTCCCTCCCTCTCTATCTGCCGTTGGTCTACCACTCCTCTTCCCCCACTCTCTTTCTTTCTCTCTCTCTCTCTCTCTCTCTCTCTCCTCTCTCTCTCTCTCTCCCTCCCTTTCTCTCTCTCTCTCTTTCTCCCCCCCCCCTCTCCTATCTGCTGCTCACCTGGCAAGCTTCAAGCTGTTGTCCAACAAGATCAGGGGTAGGCAACCTCGTCTCTTTTATGACTCATGGACTTCAACTCCCAGAATTCCTGAGTCAGCCTAGCTGGGCTAGCTAGCTCTCTCCTGCCCTTCCTGCTTCCTGCAGAGATGCAGCAAAGGGAGGAGCTCCGCCCAGTAAGCTTTTCAGCTCCTCGGAGAACATGTGAGTACACTCTCTTTTACACACACACACACACACACACACACACACAGAGAGAGAGAGAGAGAGAGAGAGAGAGAGAGAGAGAGAGAGAGAGAGAGAGAGAGAGAGATATTGAAGCAGGGAAGCGCAATTGCCTCTCTCTGTCTCTGTCTCTCTCTGCAAAGGCAGAGGAGGCTGGGAGCCACAGGGGAAGGCTCAAAGAGCCGCATGCGGCTCCGGAGCCGCAGGTTGCTGACCTGTGCCTTAGTTCATTATGAACCTTAGCTTTCCTCACTTCATCTTTGCAGGCTCGGGCTATTTGTTGATATTCTGATTTAGTTATGTGTCCCTCTTTCCAGACTTTCTGTTTGTAAATCTGAATACGCTCCTGTGGCATAAATAAATACTTTTGAAAACTTTAAAGAACAAGGTATTAATCTCTCTTTCTTTACATTTCTTATATTGCTATTTGTCTGGTTTCTACATTTCTCCTTAAATATAATCTGACCCATGCACTATGTTTGAACAATATGGCAAACAAAATCACAGTTTGCTTGATACTCTAGAACACAGGTCGGCAACCTGCGGCTCCGGAGCCGCATGTGGCTCTTTGACCCTTCCCCTGTGGCTCCCAGCCTCCTCTGCCTTTGCAGAGAGAGACAAAGACAGAGACAGGCAATTGCGCTTCCCTGCTTCTCTCTCTCTCTCTCTCTCTCTGTGTGTGTGTGTGTGTGTTTTGTGTGTGTGTGTGTGTGTGTATATGTGTAAAAGAGAGTGCACTCACAGTGTTCTCCGAGGAGCTGAAAAGCTTTCTGGGCGGAGCTCCTCCCTTTGCTGCGTCTCAGCAGGAAGCAGGAAGGGCAGGAGAGAGCTAGCTAGCCCAGCTAGGCTGACTCAGGAATTCTGGGAGTTGAAGTCCATGAGTCATAAAAGAGACGAGGTTGCCTACCCCTGAGATTGTTGGAGAACAACTTGAAGCTTGCCAGGTGAGCAGCAGATGGGGGGGGGGGAGAAAGAGAGAGAGAGAGAGGGAGGGGGAGAGAGAGGAAAGAGAGAGAAAGAAAGAGAGTGGGGGAAGAGGAGTGGCAGACCAAGGGCAGAGAGGGAGAGGGAGGGAGGGAGAGAGACAGAGAGAGAGAGAGACCCTTTTGACATCTAAAATGAAGATAACACTGCATATATCCTTTTTTTACCTGTGTGTGTATGTAATTTTATTCTCTTAAAGCATTCTCTCGGTGATCATTGTTTTAATAGTATGGATATTCCCAAGAGTCATATTTTTACTTTTATTTTTAATGTGTGTGTGTGTGTGTGTGTGTGTATACACACACACATACACAAACACACACTCTCTCTCTCTCACACACACACACACACACACACACACACCTATAATAAAGATAAAAAAGGATATATGCAGTGTTATCTTCATTTTAGATATCAAAAGGGTTTTGCGGCTCCCGGTGTTTTGTTTTTGGTGGGAAACGGGTTCAAGTGGCTCTTTGAGTGTTTTGGGTTGCCTACCCCTGGTCTAGAATATAGTGGCTGTCTCCCTAATACGGTTTGATTCTGCTGCCTACAAAATATAAATGATGCTTAAAATGCACTGATTCCAGGGGACTTCTTTGTATACAAAAACACTGTCATTTTGATAAAAGTAATCTCATACGGAGAACTAAAGAAAATAAAATTACTAATGTTACCTGAATCGGACTTTATACTGAATAGTAGGTTCTTTAAGAAGTTCAGCTTCCAAAGGACTCACTCTTTTTAAAATGTCATAGCTAATACAATATTCCTGAAAGAAATACAGTATTTACCCAATAGATTTGTAACATTCTATTTACAGAAATGTTATGATCACTGTGTACACAAATTGAGGTTAATAAGAGAAACAGAGAGGCAACAGCATGCTTAAAATAGCCCAACATTTAGAAACTGAAATATTTGGAAAAATATTTGAACAAGCAAATAGCTCAATGAGCACTCAGCATACTCAGTATTTATGCAGTTTTGAGTATCACTGGGATGAGGATGTGGGAAAGAGAGTGATATGGAAAATCCTGAAAGAAATCATATTATATCACTATTTGGAGGCATACTGAATAACATGATCCATATTTACAGCCCTAGTTTTCAAATTTTTCACTCAGAAAAAGAATATCTCCTTTCAGTATATTTTAATTAGAATGTTGAGGTATTTATTAGCTCTAGATTGAAGACTACCAAAACATCCCATCTTTAGGCAAAATAACAGTAATTAAAATATGATAAGATAATGCTGTTCAACTCTAAAAATAAATTTTGCAATATATTTGTAATAATTACAAATGTAAGCCAGAGATAGGTGGCCAAGGCTGCATTATTTTCAGTGGAACAAAAGGCATGAGACGATGCAAAAAACCTAAATATATTACATATATAAGAAAGACTGAGGCTTTAAAAAAACTTAGGGATATTTTATTTTTTATACTATGTAAAAATTAATTTAGAATATGTACTATAATTTACCATGGGGTCGCGATGGGTCGGACACAACTTCGCAATTAACAACAACAACAACTATAATTTAAATACTTCCTGTTGTAATTGTTGGGAAATGGAATAATTGGTTTCTTACTGCCAATAAATGATTGGTGAAGATAAATCATTACTTTCCCGTTACTAATGGCAGAAACCCTCACAAAATTTGTAGAGGGTTGCTGGAAGGAAAGATAAAACTATGGTAAAGGGAGTCAAGCTATTCTCCAAAGCTCCTAAAGGCAGGACAAGAAGCAATAGAAGGAAACTAATCAAAGAGAGAAGCAACCTAGAACTAAGGAGAAATTTCCTGACAGTTAGAACAATTAACCAGTGGAACAACCTGCCTCCAGAAGCTGTGAATGCTCCAACACTGGAAGTTTTTAAGAAGAGACTGGACAACCATTTGTCTGAAATGGTATAGGCTTTCCTGCCTGAGCAGGGGGTTGCACTAGAAGACCTCCAGTGTCCCTTCCAACTCTATTATTATTGTTGTTGTTGTTGTCAATGTCATTATCATCATCATTATTATATGCAGGGGAATGCAACTGATGTCACTATCAAGCCATAAAGTGTAGCCAATATACTAAATATGTATATATAGGTTGCAGGTCTATATACCTGGGGAGCATATGATATTGCAAAGGTGCAATACTGCACTAAGCTGTATTTTGAATGGTGATAGTTAAAGCTCAGATATGGATCCGTTTTAATTATTAAAATAAATTTATTCTTTCCTTTTGCTTGTTGTCGCTGAATCTGCAATGCAAATGTTATTCTGTATCTGTGAAATCCGTTGAGCTATTAATTTAGCTCAAATATGTTTTCTGTCAGCTTTTTAGGAGGGTTTTTTTTTTTTAAAAAAAATCCCATCCCAGAATGTCATGTTCTTATGTATCTGAAGCTATTGCTTTTACATGTCTTTTAAATGGAGAAATTTGGGGAAAAATCTATTTTATTCTTATATCTTTACAGTAAAAGTGCTAATGTTTTTAAAAAACAAAATTAAAGCTGAATATTCAATAAGAAAATCAAATATTTTATTTCTTACCAAAATAAGATAGATACATAATACATTTACCTCAGTATAGAATTGTGCTAAATATTGGGTTCTGCCATCGTTCTCCTAGAGCAGGGGTGTCAAACTGGCAGCCTGTGGGCCGGATGCATCATGTGCAGGCCATGCCCACCCCAGCTCCGCAAAGGCAAAAAATGTCACAATATGTCATGTGACACAATCGAGTTTGACACCCGTGATCTAGGGAATCAGAATGAATCTTTAGAATTCTAGAGCCAATTTAATCTAAGTTTATCTAGGTTTAATGCTGATTGGAACACTTTGATGACTTTTTGTGTGAAACTAAAAAAATGAAATTATAATAAGAGAGGTTAATTTACATTTATACTTAAAACTGCTATAAAAGTCATTTTTTATTTCTTTTTTGCATTTTTTCTGTTCTTATTTTTTTTTTCTTCCTCCTTGGTTTTTGTTAATTTTATCTTTCATTTTAAATTTATATTTTTACATACAGACACACACACACACACACACACACACACAAAACTTCAAAATTTTAATTTTCCAGACAGCATTCTGTAGTCTGTAACCTAAAGGGAAGATTCAGATCTTCATGTGACTGGGAACCTTCAACAGAATCAGGGAAAATGGTAAAATAGTTGGATGGCACAAAAAATGAATCTGAAAAAAAAAATGGCACCTAGCTGAGAAATAAGAGTGTTGAAGTAAACCTTATTTAGACATCAGGCACCATTTGTCAAAACGAATTTTTATCTGACCTGATGAGTAATTGTGATAGAGTCTGAATATGTTTTTGAGAGTTCTGACTTTAGAATACCAGCTTTGAACACAAGTGCTGGAACAATGCTATTTCATTCAATCCCTCAACACGTGTGGATCTCTGCTTCAGTAACTCACTGAATTTGTCCTTGGATGCTGTTTTTGCTTCATGTTTTATGATTGTTTGGAAACTTTTGCCTGATATCTGACCTAGATTTCAATTTAGTTGTTCAGAATTTTTTACATTACCGGTATGTGAACACAACCAATATGTCTACAGATAGGGGAACTATCTTAAAACAGGGCGTGTGGAAAGAAAAAGAAGTTAAGGGGTAAAACCATAATGATACATTTAGCCAGACATTACTGTGTACATGACCATACCGCTGCACGAATTGTGTGTTTCAGAAGTTTAAATAGTCTTTTTGTCATGTGCATCCACCATCTCTTCTGAATTTTTACAGCTGCTTGCTCTCTTTCAACCCTGATGAAAAAAAGTAAATGTTACCAGCTTTGCGTACTACTGTACAATATTTAAACTTTAAAATATTGGGAAATTATTGAACAGACAACTCAGAAAAGTCAGATATTTCTAGATTGAAATTATTAGTAATAGGTCAGACATTCCTATATTGTTCATTATTCATAAACCTTAAATGAGATACCTTTAAGAGGTGTGTATCCCAACTTCAATAATATTCAGAACAAATCCAGAATGAGGTCAAATGAGGGAGGTGAAATGGAATGCCCCAAGATCTTGGACCAATCTCAGATAGTATGTAAGGTCATGCCTCAGCTAGTCCTCCCAGGAAAGCAGAACTCTTGAGACAGGCATCATCTCAAAAGGATGATTGAGAGACAGTGACAGCAAGAAAGCAAAGCAAAATCTAGTATTTTCCCGTGTGAAACATTACATTAAAGCATCCCTTACAGACCCCACCCCAATGGCCAAAAGTCCAATTTGATTTTATCCAATCCTCAGATGCGAGGTTGTTATGGGAACCAAATTGATAAGCACAGTTTCCAGGCACCATTCTCGGGTTTGGTTTCCTCTCAGCCTCTTGATCTCCTTCCCTCGGTGCGGAGCTAAGACAAATGGCCCAGAGTACATTCTTTCTTCCATTTACACCCCATACCAGGCTCCCCCTCCCAGCAGAATAACAGAGCATCTTCCTCCCCCCTCCCAACATAACGGCAAACCCAAACAGAAAAAAAAGGCATATAATAAATGAGGATCTGACATGGTGCCCCTCCTAAAAAAAAATGGAAGATCCACCTGCAGGAGAAAGAAAATAAGAAAATGGGAAAAGAAAAATAGGTAGCTGCCAGGGTTTATCAGGATAGCGTTCATAGAAGCATTTAAGTAGTCTTGGGGCCCTAACATGCTTTTCATGAACCCATTCATTTTGGGAAACTAGCAAATCTTTCCAGGCTACCAAATATTGGACAGCCCCATGGTGCCTACGTTGAGTCAAAGATTTCTTTAATCACAAAGTGTTGTTCCCTTCCACTATAATGGGCTGTGGTGTAGGAGCTGCTTTTGGCCTTAAAGGTGAGGGTATTTCAAGTTTCAGTAAGCTACAATGAAATATGGGGTGAATCTGTCTTAAAGTCTTGGGGAGTTCCAGTTCCACAGTAACTGGATTTATGATGCGCTTGATTGGAAAGGGACCTATGAATTTGGGTCCTAACTTCTTGGAAGGTTGAAGGGATTGTAGAAACCTAGTGGATAAATAGACTTTATCCCCAATGCAAAAAGGCTTGGGTTCCCTTCTCTTTTTATCTGCTTGAGTTTTATTAGCATTTCCGCCCCATTCCCTCAGAAAAGAAAAGCTGTGAATTAATTACGTGGGGAAAATGGTGAAATCTATAAGATTTATTTGGAATTAATATATATATATATAGCTTGAAAATTTGGGGACTAAAAGTGATTTTAAGACCTTTTTCTTAAAAAAAAAGACTTGAAAAGTTTACAATATAAGTTTTGGATCTAAAAACTGAAAAACAGCATTGATGACATCTAGTGGTGAACTACGGCACTACAACTTATTTATGCTTAAAAGAAACCTGGCTTGAAGCCCAGAACTAGGTAAGATTTTGGCTGGCTTTGGAAGCTTTTACTATTGAGAATTACAGCTGAGAAAAAAGTGACAGGCTTGAGGGCTGCTTATCTGTGTGACAGCAACAATAATATTATTCTAAATTTGGCCTGTCTGAATTTTGAATACTCAGGATGACAAGGTGGAAGCTTACCACAAGGAGATTGAGGGTTGGCGAACTGGTGTAAGAAAAACAACCTAGTTTTAAATACCGGAAAAACCAAAGAGATCATTGTCAATTTCAGAAAAGGCAGGACAGCCACACTTCTCTGTGCATTAATGATTCACCTGTGGAGATGGTTACCAGCATCAAATTCCTGGGTGTGCAGCTAACGAGCAGGCTGGCTTGGTCGCTCAACAGTGAGAAACTGGTGAAGCAGGCACAGTAGCGCCTGCATTTTCTGCGTCACATGAGAAAAGCACATCTTCCTTCCCCTGTCCTGACCACTTTCTACAGGGGGACGATCGAGAGCATCCTGTCATACAGCATCACAGTCTGGTTTGGAAGCATCACTGCTTCAGACAGGGAGGCAGTGCAGAGAGTGGTGAGGATGGCCGAAAAGATCATTGGCAGCTCCCTCCCTCCCATCCAGGACATAGCACAGAAGCGTTGTTTGAGCAGGGTCTGTAAGATCATCTGGGACACTACACATCCTCTTCATGACCTGTTTTCCTTGTTACCTTCTGGGAAGAGGCTTCGTGGTATCTGTAGCAGAACATCCAGGTTCAGCCATAGTTCCATTCCATACAGCATTAGCCTTGTGAATTCTCAAGCTTCCTCCTTCCGTTATATACTCAAGATGGACAGTATTTAATATTATTTGCTATGTATATGTAGGGGTGTGAGTCTATACATATGTTGTACATAGTATGTTTTAGGTGTGTGTCATATATGTGTTTCACTTTGAGAGCGGGCAACTAAATTTCATTTTTGATGTGTGCCATTCTGTCCACAATAAAAAAAAATGACAATAAAGGTTATCTTATCTTATCTTATCTTATCTTATCTTATCTTATCTGACTTTCAGAACTGTATTGTGGATTTATTTTCTTGTAGAACAAACATATGGAATATTTTGGATCATAAATCTTGACTGTTAAACAACCTTAAATGGACCTTCTGTCCCTGGACAGAAAGGATATATTTCTTACTGGACAGAAAAATTTGAATTTTACTTATATATGTTTAGTGGAGGTTTAGGAACAGCTACTTGGTTGGATAAATTTATAAAGGCTACTTATAAAAATAAAATAAAATGGATATTTTATACTCAGCTTTAAATAGTAAAACACCATCTTTAACATCTGTTCCCAGTAGCTTTAGTTTGCCATATCACCCCAAAAATACTGATGAAACATAGAAAGAAATTCTCTCCATGTTGAAATTAATATAAAAAACAATTGGTTTAGCTTGTGATCAGGTTAAAAATAATACAAAGAAGATAAAAGAACAATTTTCTAATTTAACTCTACAAACTCAGAAAACAACTACAGAGAAGGAACCAGCAATCCAGAAAATAGAAGGAAAACTAGAGAATGCTGACACAAATATTGACGATCTAAAGGAAGAAACTAATGACCAGACCCAGATAAATGAAAACTTAGAAGACACAACGATAATACTGGGCACGGAAAAGACATTTTACAAACCAAGTTTTCAGAACATACTGGATGACAAGGAAGGAGAGCTGATGGAATAGAAGATAAAGCCATTAACAGAACTGTGGGGAACTGGAGAAAGAGGGAGGCGATTTAATGAATATCAATGGGCTACTTCTTCCAAAAATACTTTAACCAAATTGTTTTACTTGTTTCAAATGCATACAAAAATAGCAGAAGAATTATTTGATGATCCAAATGCATTGACTTGGAAAGTTAGTTGGCAAAGGGAAATAAGAATATGCCAAGAACTTTGAATAAGGGATAATTTTGGTTGCCAATATATAACTTGTTTCGAAATTATAAATGATTGGGATACTTTGAACATGGATGGGAAACTAAAATTGAAAAAAGCAAAAATAGGATATGGATTAAATAAGTGGAAATTGAATGCAAATGCAATTAACATAGGCTTTGGTTAGAAAATATATTTTAAACTGATATTATTGACATTATTAGAAAAATGTAACAAATGTTGATATGCAATTGTGTATGTATATATATATATATATATATATATATATATATATATATATATATTGAAAATTTTTAAATTTTACAAAACAATACGGTTCCCTTCCCCAAACCCCCCCAACCCTCCCATGCCCTCCCCCAACCTTCCCAGAGCTGAATACAGGCCAAATAAGAAACTTTAAAAAACCACTCTTGCAAGGTAGGCAAAGATTCCTTCTTTCAACATTGCCCTACTAACAACCTTGCCGCTGTGATTAAATTTAACATCAATATAATCTCTTTAGTATCACAATCAGAAACAATACCTAACAAAAATTTAGATGTAATACGTGTTTCCTGCAAGCAAATAATATCATTATTATGTTGCTTTAAATAATGATAAATTTTCTTTCTCTTTTGAGGGGAATTGAGGCCATTAGCATTCCATGTCAGAAACTTTACCATCTCCCTTAACCAGAAGCCTGGAGAAGACTGCTTGAAGATCTGACATTGAGGAATGTGCTGCAGAGCTCTTGGGTCTTGCTCCTCCCACAGGCACCGAAGCAACTTCTTGAAGAACTTCTTTAACTTCTTTCTTCTGTTGTTCCTTTTCCTTACGTCTATGTGCTGCGCGAGTCATTCTTTGCTCTTTAATCTCTGCTTGTTGCAGCTACTCCACCTGTGATTTTCCAGCATCCATCAATACTACTTCTTCAGACTGCTGTTCCACCTCTTTACCATCCAAGACTTTCTGCATCGTAGGTGGTAGTGAGCCTGCTCCCAGGACCGACTTGTAAAACTCCTTTGCTTTAGAAACTGTATTGAGTCTATAACGCGTCCCCGCATGGCTCACAACAATACCCATTGGAATCTCCCATCTGAATGGCATCAATCTTTTTTTAAGTTCATTAGCTAAGAAAGCAAACTCTTTTCTCCGTCTTAAAATTTTGGATGGGATCTCCTTTAGAATAATGACATCTTGAGCAGCAATCTGAAATCTCTTGTTATAAAAAGCTTGTATAATTTCATTACGCAGAGATCTCTTCCCAAAATAAATCACCACATCTCTTGGTAAATTTCTTTGCTTTGCAACCTAGGAGTTAACTCTAAATATCTTTTCAACTTCTCTGAGTATTTCCTCTTTCTCTCTATTCAAAATAGCAGCAAAGTCATTTACCACAATCTCTCTCAAGTCTTGCTGCATGTCTTCTTTCAGGCCTCTGATTCTTAAAGCATACTCCATCTCTCTGTACTGAGACATAACAATGTCATC